GGCTGTTTTTTTGTTGTAACTCAGAGTTTCATGGCAAAAACCAATCATCAGACAACATCGTTGTTGTCTGATGAGTGGTTTTTGCCATGAAACTCTGAGTTACAACAAAAAACAGCCCTATATACTTCCTTTTGTGTACCTCTTGCGTACATGTACAATCATGGTCATACTACAGTAGTAGTAGTAAGTCTTGTAGTTCCGTAGTTCGGACTAGGTTCGCGTGTATTCAGTGTACTATTCACACACACATGACACGGTGATGTACAGTGCTTGTGTAAAGGCCTACACTGCAGGCTACACTACAGACCAGTACACAGGTACTGGTGAAACAGACAAGGCAGCCATGCATGCACCGATGCCCTATAATTATTTCGTATAAAAGACGAGCACTGTCCTCCAGATGAAGCATCTCATCCATTCAGTCCTAGCCAGTGGTTTCTCGCGAAAGTCTTTCTCCTCACATCCGTCAAGATGAAGTGCGTCCAAGTCCTCTTCGTCACTCTGGTGGTCTGTGTGGCTGTCATCAATGCTGCGCAATGGCCCGGATCCTGGGGACCGTATGCCCAAGAAAATGCGCAAAACGAAGTTGCTATGAAGGCTTATGCTGAGTACCTGGCCAATAACCTACCTCATGGCGCTATGGTTGGCCAGTCGCATGCAGTGTCTGCCAACGCTGATTCGCCTGTCTGCACCTACTACAAGACCCTCTTCAACAACATCTGTGGCATCGTCGAGAATGCTGTGCAGCTAGGCCGATCGAGCTTCCAGTGTACAATTCTCAACGGCATTCGTGACTCTGTTTGTGGAATCATCAACCTGGGCAAATAATCACGCTCATCTTGCTGTCCTGGGCACGTGTCCGTCTGCACATCATCATCTTCACATCGTGGCAAGGATCGACAAGAAGTAAGAAACAAGATTGTGACTCTAACTGTGAAGATGGGATTTGACGCCAATCTGAACAGTTCCATCACTCTATCAGATCTTTTCATGTGTAACCTAGTATGCACGTTACAATGTGCTGGCCCAGCTCGATCCGGCCTTGGCTACTACATACATCAAGAGATGGTTTTGTTGTTCACTCTTCACTCTCGTTTATTCTCTTACTGGCATAAAGTAGTATAAGCATGTAACACTGTGTGCGTGCCGCTCTGTTTGGCTTTGTTCGTAGTCACTCGGATACACTGTGCCTTCCATTCCTATCCCAATGTACTTCTTGCCCTTTCTACTTCTGAAGTAGATTTTTCGTTTCTTTAGCTATAATTATAATTGCCTTTTCTACATACTGGTTGTGCTTGTGGTGTGGCTGGTCTGTGATCTAGTTGTCAGTGCAACCAGTTGTGCACTGTCCAGTACATGAGATACTGGTTCAGCGCTGAGAATGCACAGTAGACCTTCAAATTATAGTAGGCTGCACGATGATCGTATTATACCAATCAGTAGAATCAGCGAAGCGGACTTTGGACCTAGTAATCAACAAGAACAAGAATAAAGATATGGAAAATAGCATTTCCTCTGAGACAAAAATGCGATAATACTCATAAAAAGGACACACTTCAGGCTCTTTACGAACATCTTGAAAGTTTTGGTTTCACAAGTATACTTTCAAGCCTTCTCATCAGGTGAAATACAGGCAAGGGAAAAGGAAGGACGTCCTACCTAATAATAATATATAATATTCGCGGGATCCGCGTCGGCATCGCTTGAATGTTCAGAAACACACAAACTAGCCTTCGCATCCGCAGGCCACCACCATGCCTGTTAACCTTAGTGGCGGCCTACCTACAGGCCAATTATCCAAGTTGATTTATCACTTCCAGTGGCGGCAATGTGAGAGCCGATATGTAGGTAGGACTCTTCAACATCTGGACGCACGCATCCGACAACACGCACCGCTACACCTTATTCCACAACACGCACGATCCACTCGACCACGGAGGGGACGTCCAGCGAAGAATCATCCTGATACAAGATGGTCTAAGGCAGTGGCATCAACACCAAGCAACGTCACCTCACCACCGGATAAACAACCGAAGAAAACACCTACTGCCAAGTACTGGCGTGGCAGTGACAGGAACCACATCAACTAGAAGAATGACAAGATCGGCAGCGACGGCGATGGCAGCGTCTAAAGCACTGACTGAGCAGCAACGGCTAGGGTCCACTCGACTAGCCATTTGATATCGGATGTGTCCACCGCACATGCTGATTGTTCTGATATTAGTTCTGATATACTGTAACACGTGTAGTTTTCCTCACTGTTTATTTCTATTGCATGATTTGCATCAGGAGATCCCCTTGACAGGCCATCGCCTCTGGGAGATCCTTTTAATAAAGATTATTATGGATCGTCTCTGATAAGCATGAGTCGTCTATTGCTAGTCTTTTGTTTGAGCATCCTGATTGTCGTGCCGTGTATTCACTATTCAGATGATTGTTTTTCGATTGTGTCACGTGTACCCAGTGCTAGATTGCTGAATGTTTTGGAAGCCGTATACATGTACATTCACACAAAGAAACCCAACCTTTGCATGTAGGCCTTGACGGATTATGCCAGCATAATTTTTCGCATAATTCCTACCAAAATCGAATAATCGCATAATTCGAGGCAAATTGCATACGAATCGCATAAAATTGTAATAATCCGCCTGTTCGCATCAAACTCCATACGATACAGTTGTACATGTTCAACAAGTACAAGTACAAGTACATGTAGATGCACTAGGAAGTTGTAGGTTTACGACTCTCTTGATAACATGTGCAGTCCACTACAATCAGTGATGGTCGTAGCTAAGGTCGGACGGTGCGTTGACCCCGTTGAACTTTTGCTACTACAGTACAGTACTACGCCCTCTACAAAAAAATTCCCTTGTTATTTTGCACAGAACCATTGTGCATTAGCAGCATGTGAGCATAATGCCGCATAATATGATAACTTTTAGCATAAAAATAGCATAATTCTGCAATTTTTTCGGCAATGCGAAAAGCATAATTTCACGAAAATATTAGCATAATCCGTCAAGGCCTATTTGCAAGCAGAAGCAAATTAAATGCACACTTTAATAGGCTGTTAGGTAGGTCGTCAAAACCTCGTTAGTTACGTCATGTATGTCCAGTGGTTATCTCTTGTTGTCGCACTACATGTCACGCTTATTGAGTTTTCTCGCACTTGCACCTTTGTGTCATTATTGCTATGTGTATAGGTCACGCATTTTCACTGTTTACTTCCATAATTTATAACTATACCAATTTTCTTCTTTGCACCGTTTTACCACCTCCTTTCTGTACCAAAATCAGGGTATACTCCCACCTTAATCCACTGTTCCTGTTCCTTTTCCCTTGCCTGTATTTCACCTGATGAGAAGGCTTGAAAGTATACTTATGAAACCAAAACTTTCAAGATGTTCGTAAAGAGCCTGAAGTGTGTCCTTTTATGAGTATAATAATAATAAAATACTAGTAAAATAAAAAAATAAAATAAAAAATAAAAATTAATGTAGAAAGGAAAAGGACATAAGGATACGAGTTAAGAGCAACTCTCCATCACTGTAACTGGATACTATATACAGTCAGAAAGTGCAATAACTAGGCACACAACTGACAAGAGTACTGAGACATTCGACGTCCTGACACCTACATGTACATGTACATGTACATGTAGCTTCAACACATCTCCGTAGCGCTAACCGACATGTATCAGTACTCTTGTCAGTTGTGTGCCTAGTTATTGCACTTTCTGACTGTATATACATGTACATGTAGTATCCAGTTACAGTGATGGAGAGTTAGTCTTAACTCGTATCCTTATGTCCTTTTCCTTTCTACATTTATTTATGGCTCAACATCCGAGTTTCAAAAAATAAAATACGAGTAGTAAAATACAATCATGACGTACATGTACGTAGCCATAGTGCTAGTAACTCACGCCCACGCATTGCATTGAGCAGTACTGGACAGTGTACAGTAGGGTTTGGCGGATTCTGCCGGCAGAAAAATTGGCAGAATTCGGTAATTTTTCTGGTAAGTTTCATGCATGTTTGGTATGCGGATAAAGAAATGGAACAGATTCGAGAAATTGCCCGCCATAAGGTTTGTATGGTTCTGCCAATTTCACTGCTTTTCGAGCAGAATCTGCCACCTTTTCGAGCATAAATCCGCCGGTCAGTATTATCTACAGTCTGTATTACACTACACTATGAGTACACTACAATACAGTCATTTGCGCTGCGTATTGTATTTTGCATGCCCCGCCTATCTGATGTCTCCCTTGTTCTTTCCCGCTACCATTATCATTCCCTTGTCTGTCAGGTACCAATTCAAGCTGTACGTTCTCAGTCCGTGCGCCAAGCCCTTGAGTAGCCTGTTTTTTATTTGCAACCGCGGGAAAAATCGAGGTGCAAAAAGATGACGACGACACAATTGTTTTGTTGGTATTTTGCAACCTTATTTGGATCTGAACTGGCGTGTGCTGGAGGAATCCTTGTTCATAACTTGGTTTGCTGCTGAGGTATGTCCCTTTGTCACCTATGGCACTTTAGCTGAGGTTCGTTGCGCCCAACTGTAGACCATGAAGACCTGTGTTTGCACTATAATATTTTTCGTCGTAATCGTACCATCAACTTGCTTGTCGTGCTGGAGTGGATAGCATATAGCGGACACTCTCGGCTTATGCTCTAAGCGAAAGGTAGATATATTTGGGTTTGGATTCCCAAAGCACATCCCAATCAGGCTATGCAAAATGGAGCGGCCCACAATTTCGTGGAGGTATGTCGAATTGTGTGGAATTTTGCACTAAAGTAATTGTGCTTGAACAAGGACGTTTTGGCTGCTTATTTTCCTTGGGCACCTCTACATTGCAAACTAGTCCCCTTGCTGTTTTGTCTTTGACATCTAAACGGAATTTCTATGTAAGTTGTGTGATTGGGGCCCAGATTTTAATCAAAATCCAGCAGTATTCCTGGCTGCTGATCTAGTTGGCTAAAATTCTGGCTGAAGGTAGTCTGTTGAGCAGTTTCTGTTGTATGTATAATGTACCATGGTAGGACGTTCATTACATAATTATAGATGGAGTACATAGTCGAAGAAACTTTTTATGTAGTTATGCACAACTGCACGGAAGTGCAGGGCGGGAAAGAAAAGCAAGAGCTGGAGACTCAGCGTCCGCAGCACGTGCGAGTGCATTGTGAGAGCATGTGTCTTCGAATTCAGCATCACACACCATATACACACTTACACACACATGTGCATGCACACACACGCACACCGCACACACGCGCGCGCGCGCAATATAAATATATAGTGTACTATAAGATGTTTTATGGAAACTTACATGGACTCCGGCTCAGCATTCCAGAAGAGCGCACACTCAGGCTTCCATGTATTCCTCTTGTACTTCTGTAGGGGTGTTGACGGCCAGATGTGCTGATTGCGCATGAAGAACAGCGTCGCCACAGTGGACAGTTGCCTCATCATTATCATCATCAGCAGCAGCAGCAGCAGCAGGAGAAACCGCATCATCCTCGTGCTCCTCATCATCCTCCTCATCATCATCATCCTCCTCTTCATCGTCATGATCATCACCCTCGGAGTCCTGTGCCTCACAGTTGGCTTGGTTGTTGTTGCCATCATTGACATTGCTGTTCAGTGGCGTGATATTCTTGCATCCGGTGCACTTGCAGCCAGGACCGCACAGACCAGATCGATAGCATTTGCAGCGCTTAGTGTTACAGCCTGACTTGCAGCTGCAACCACGGGTTAGCAGCAATACACGGGATTGTACAGCAGCCATGTGCTCCTCTGTGTCCCACACAATGCTGATGTTGTTGCTGTCTGTGCTCCAGCCATACTGGTTAGGGTCTAGTGTGACTACTGTCTCTTCATTGGCCTGCGCCCACATGTTGGCGACCCAGCACACTCTCTGCCAATGTAGGTGAAGGGCACTCCATGATGGAGGACAGTCTTCTTCAGGTCCAACCCTGCTCCACACCACCTTCCTAATAGCATTAAGCCATTCCGAGTGACGTTGCTGTGCAGTAGCTCCATCTTGCTGGCTTAGAAGCGACCTGGGCCCATTGTCCTCGAAACCAGCTGTGTGCTTGGAATGATAGGCACAGCCAACCAGTCGAACGAACGCGAGAAACCCATCTTCTGACTCAGTGTCACACAGCATGCCAGGGACACCTTCAGCTGCATTGTTGCCAGTGATGAAGCTAGCGTACCTGCACAATGTGCTGAAGAAGAAGGTCTTGCCCAGTGACCGGAAAAATGACACGTAGTCACAACCCGTGGCGATGAAGGTAACCTGAGCTGTGAGCGGCTTCAGATTTTCCGGAATGCATTGCAGGTCTGGATCGGTGGTGAAGCTACTTGACAAGCTGTTGACACTGATGAAGCTGTGGTCTTGGCTGCCTGGCATGTCTAGCTGCACAAAGATGGTCTGACTGGTGAGAAGTGGCAAGCCAACGTGATAAGTGTCCGTGTCGGGGCTAACAACAAGGCACTGCTGGAAATTCAGTGCGTGTTTCCAAACCCTGGAGTCTGCTTCATCAGAGTTGCTTGAGCACGACACAAACTCGAATACGTTCGGTTGACCTGAAATGATGCCAAGTGCCTTGCCCATCATGTTGCCAGTGAAACCTCCAGAGACTACTAACTGTTGCTCTGGCTTGGTGAACAAGTGGTGCACGAGTTGTAAACTGGCCTTACACAAATACTGCACCAGCCGATACTTGCAAGTTCGGCAGCCGATGAACTTCTTCCAGTTCTTCGGCACTGAGTCATGGCTGTCGATTGGCTTTGTATGATTCTGTGTGCAATCATCTTTGATGCTGCCATCTCGTACCTGTCGCAGAATGTCCTTTGGGCTCATGGGCTGAGGCTCATCAAATACCATGTGGATGCTGTTCGCATTCTGCTGGAATGGTCCTTTCACCCACCGACTGAACAGGAAGTTGGCGTAACTTTCAAACGTGCTGTGAGAGGAGAGGGGAGATGTGGCCAGCCAGAACATGCTGTCATACACAATGGCATGTGGAGATTCTCTGAAGCTTGATGGTAAGCGACTGGTCAATACGTTTTGCTGCTGGTAGCGATCACCATACCACTTGGTGACTGTGGATTTTGTTCCACGCCGAGGTGTGATGTCATCATCAGTCAGTGCTCTTGGTGTTTGAATAATCTGCTCACCAATACCTATGCATTGATCATAATTGGCACACACATAAACAGCAGAAGACATGTAGTATAGCGACTTGGAATAGTGGACGTTTGTTTTGGACGACGTTGTGTGATTTAGATTGGGCAGACTAGTATGTGAATAGAAGTCCCTTATATCCTCAAATAGCTGTACATCAATTGTACTTGCTGGGGCGTATTGTGCATTGGAACGGGAAATAGTGCATCCCAAGCCCACACTATCTCTTAATTTGCTAAATCCTATATATAGGATTTTGGTCATATTTTTCAACTTAAAATGGGTGTGGCATGAGAATAGCAAAAAGTATGTGACCAATTCTTCCTTGCTAGGTCTAAGTAGATATCGAGAGTTGAATAAGATAATTTTTTCAAACACTAACATCTCAGGCTCATCTCCTTGCCCAATATTACTAAGGCCTGTGCCCTATTTTCCGAATCCTATATATAGGATTTGAGATTTTATTGGACCTTGTTTTATCCTTAAAACTGGAAGTTTTATGACGGCATGTGCGATATGTCGTCATGAAACCACCCCGTGCCACACCTGCAATGTTCTTCTGCATATTCACTGCTTCAGTCCTTTCCATGACAGCAGCTGAACAATTATGCACAAATTTCCAATTATTGCTGAAAATGGGTATTCATCAGAAATATTATCGCCCTATGAATCTAAAATGTACACATTCATGCCTCAAACATATTACAACTTCCATGAAAACCATTATGTCGTTATTATTGGTCGTGATGACCAATAACAACGGCATAAAAGGCACACATTTTCAAATCCTATATATAGGATTTTCGGCCAGCAAATTAAGAGATACCAAGGCTAATACGGTGCTAGAATGGGTATAACAACATTAACATGTAGAAATAGTTTCTGGCAGGCAAACACTATACTCATGAAATACGTACCTGACGCAGCAAGGCCATGCGTTTGCGACCAGGCTATACGGCGCTTTAGGCAGGTTGTGCGTAGCTTATCATTCTTCTCCTTTTGGCTCGTTGTACGTCTCTTCTTTGTTGCAGGTGCAAATGTACGAAGCTTCTGTTGACGACGTGGAGGATTTGCTGAGGGAAGATGCATAATCCGGCATTCCACGTATGCTTTGTAGTCTGCCGTTCCAATAGTGTAGAACTGGAGCATGTCGTGCAGCTGTTCTGGTGTAGCAATTATACCATTGAAAACGTTCACAAGTCCTCTACCATTGCTTGCAGGCACTGGCAAGAGTTTGTGCTTCTCAATAATCTCCACGACGGCTTTAAGATTCTCCAGCCGCTCCTGCTGCTGCTTGCTAGGTCCATCGCTGTGGCTGCCTCTGCTGCTCCTTTTCTCTTCAGGTATCTCAGGAAACAGCTCATCTTTGAGATTGTGCAGCACATGCCCACGATGCGGCAAATACCGTGCCAGACGATCAATGTATTCTGCACGTGGGTGGACGATGGCCGCCTTCAGGTCCTTGTTAATACACATTTCATGGCATTCATCCAGGCCAATTGAGCTAAACGCATTTGATGATAGGCTCACTGAGAATGCACCAGCTTGAAACTGTGCTTTCATCGCCTCTGGCATGGATGCAACATGAGACAGGTGATGAGGAAGGAGCCGCAAGTAATATGTCCTGTCAAATGCATGGAACAATGGGGCCGCTGCTTTGATCGCAGATACGCGCAGATCCCAATTTCCGCTGCGAACTGCTGCCCAAAGACTCGTGTATGGCATCATATGGTCGAAATAGAACCCAGCCCAGAACCTCCATGTGTCATCACCTTCAGCCATTGAAGTTGCAAATTCCTGCAATTGAGAGTGCGTTGCCTGTGGGTTCCCACACTGCTTCAGTACGATTCTTCCAATCGCTTCATGGGCGAGGAGTAGGAACTCATGGCACTTGCGGAAGTTGCTGGCTTTCTCCAATACTGACAGCAAATCGCCACGGTAGCCCATTGCTGATGCCATTGACTTCAATCCTGCATCCCAGTAAATCTTCATTATCACAGGGTGCATGGCCTTCAAGAGGTGCCAATCTCCTGGGAACGGAACTAACCATGACAATTCGTCTCTGTACTCTCTGATAAGCGACAGCAGATGGTCATATGTCTTCCCATCCCCAACTACAACCAGGTGAGTAATGAGAGAGCCAACGCCATACAGGGCATGAAGGCATCGTAGCACATTGATCATGGTGTCCTTGCTGTCTGCAGGTTCACTTGTGACGCCAAGGTAAACCACCTTTGACTGTTCGGGCTTAGCTGAGAATGTGGATTTGAAGTGCTCCTTCAATGATGTGTGACCATCTGTAGACAGAAAACTGTGATGCAGCTCTCGGAATTGCTCTAGGACTCTGTAGTCGCCATCTGTTAGGATGAAATCTTCCATTTTCAACTTTTTCCTGTCAAACCAGCTTGTATCTGGCATAGCTGCTGATTGCATTGTGCTGGTCGCCAAGATAGGCACGTCTTCTGATCCAGTGTCATCTGGCGCGGGTTGGGTGTTGCATACTGAACATTCTGTACTTGCAGCCTTATCTTGATCATGTGTAATAGTTGTGTCACACGTTTTTGCCGTATTTTCTGGATTCTCTGTGCTTTCTGTAGATGGTCTTGTGCCCTCGTCATCAACAGCGCTAGGTCCAGAGGCCCAATCAGGCTGAACGGCATCATCCAGCTGTGACTGGGGTGTAGGTAAGTGTCTCTGCGTGCTCTGATGGTCGACTTGTGGCTTCTGGCCTTCAATCATTGTTCTTGCACGGGACCTGCCTCGCATACCCTGTGGTTCACTCGTGTTGGCAGGCTGTGATGCACAGTGGAATCCTTGATGTGGCACTCGGTCTATGTTGTTGCACGCGACAATATTGCCACTGATAGGCTTTGGTGTGATGCTCTGAATAGATGTACCATGAAAGCCTCTTGATTGGTCTCCGCAGTACATTCGCTTGCCTGGCTCGTTTTTGTCGATATTATCCACTGTTGCAATGGAGAACTTTGCGTGAGGTATCTCACTGTTCATTCCGAGCTCTGATTTCTTATCAATGATGGTCTTTTGATATCGCTTGTAGGAGTCGACACCTGCTGTTGCGCCGACTCGAGCTAGTACTCGCATGAGCTCGCTGGAATTGCTATGTGCATCCACAAAGTCTGAAAGAACAAGCTGGAAAGGGTAAGTGCATGCTGGTGTGCTTGCATGCATCATGCATGATAGCACAAACAAGCACCGGATCCTCTTTGCACGGTGGTTGGATGCTTGACTTCCTTCTGACTCCGACTGGCCGTACATCATCAGCCAAATGTTTCCCCACAACTCACTGTCCACACTATCCACCACTGCGTCCAGCTTCATTTCCGACAGTGAAGTTAGGTCGTTATGCTCTTTGTGCTTGAATTCTTGTGCTTGACTTTTGATTTGTGAGTGCATTGCAGCCGACAGCTCTGACACGGAGGATGATGGGCCACTGGGTTGGCTTGTGTGCTGTGTGTGCTGGGTTTCATTTTGTGCTCTGTGTTTCAGGGTCTGGGATCGTGCAACGGCGAGGGAATTGTATAAGCACAGAACTGTGTCACACCCTGTACGATACAGGAGCGTACCTCGTTTCTTACTGGGACCATATGACCCATGGCTGAGATGAGCGCCAAGCTTAGAAATAAGGCTGGACAGTAGCCACCGGTTGTTGCAGTCGATGGATGGTGAAGAAGAGGTGAAGAAATCAGCAGCCGTTGCCAGAAGAAGAGAACGGTTCTCGAGGAATGCAAGACAGACGAATCTTGCTGTTGACAGCAATGCGGACTCCTCGGGTGAGGTGCATTGGTGCATTTCGTCTGTTATACTCTGCACCAGGCTCTCCAGCTTGAAGTCAGTAGTCTGACTGTCCACCATATCCAATTGGCCTTTATAACAGGCTAGGCAAAAAGCACTATCCGCGGTGACCGTAAAACCACGCTCAGCGTGCAGCTGACGCTGAACTGCTCCGACGTTCGGACATTTACGCTTAACACCCCTTATTTGTGCGCCGCACATGGTACATGTGGGCCTGTTGCTGTCATGTAGCTGCATGTTATGCCGGTTGCAGAGACCCGCTGGCTGATCGTTTGCGTTTATTTTCACGTTAAGCTTCTTGGCCAGCTCTACTGCTTGTTATGAAACTGTGACATGCCGTGGCAAATCACAACCATCTACTGAGCAGTCTGGTATTGTTGCGGGTACGGGTGCTGCTGCTGCTGGTGCTGCTGCTGCTGCTGCTGCAACATGCTGTGCAGGCATCGCTTCTGTAGGCTGCACGTTGTCAGTGACAGGCATTGGCTCTGCTGAATGATTTATGAGCCTTTTCATGCATTTCTTGCAGATACATGCATTTCGTGGTATTGTAGGGTGATGTGCATACTCCCAGCATTGCGTGGTCTCGGGGTGGGCATATCTGCCATCAAGGGGAACATCTTGGCAGGCTACACATGGTCCGCATTGCCTGTCAGGATGCAGTTTCGAGCCCTGGCTTTGGCGGCCCATTTGGACTTGGTCACAGTGCGGACACTCGTGGTTTCTTCCTGGCCTATAGCAACACCATCTGTCCGCCCATTCGCGTAGTTTTATCAGAGATAGAGCCTTGCAAAATAAGACGGCCCACAATCTCCTGCGACGTATCTACGAAATGGGAAATTGAGAAGAGAAACAAAAAGGCACCGCAACGACTTGAGATGTCGAATATCGAGGTGCACTTTCGAAAAATGTGCTCATCGCTCACCCTTATAACACCATAACGGCGCAAAAGCAATCGATATAGGAGGATACGCCTGTATTCTCGAGGTAACCAATAGTCGAAAATTGAGAAGAATTGGGTATGTCACTAAATTCGTCTTCAAATCTCCCGCGGTTGCAAATAAAAGTGCAACATTTAGACGACTTTTTTGAACTTGGCGCACGGACTGTTCTAACGTACCGTGCGCTTCATGATCTGGCTAGTGTCTTTGTTGCTAACTGTTTCTGTCTCCGCTCTAGGCCCCAGCAGCAAATGCTAGCACCCAAAGTAGCATAAAAGGGTCGTTTTGTGACTCCACACGATGCTAGCATAAACAGCAGTTTTTACCGGCATCCGATACATTTTTGCCAATTTTGGCATTCTGGATGTGGAATTCGGTCTAGATTACACTATGAAACTAGTATTAGGATTACTGAGCCTTATGTAGTCTTTGGTTGGAAACGTCGCCAAAGCGACTCGCCATCAGCCTCGGACTCGTGTTCACTGTTGCCTGTGGTCTGCGATGGTGTAGGAATTGCAGTTTTGCCTTGAGTGGACATAAAATAAATAAATAAATAGTACGGTTCGCGTACCGGGCAGGTCAAGAACTGCCTTTCCACTTCCGTGGAGATGCCGGTAGTTATTTTGAAGGCGAAATATGGAGAACAGCAATCAAGCGGAGTGTGGCGACTTATCTGATTCTGCTCAGCACTCAGATGACTCCCCAGCATTTGTTCCCAGCAATTCCTCTGAGTCGGAAGACGAAGAGGTAAACAGCGTATTGAAACGTCTTCCCGTCGCTGAAGAAGCTGCTGTGGCTAGGAAACGGTCACTGACGAGAAGCAGTAAAAGTGGAGGTGATAACAAGCGTAAGAAAGTAAGCGGGGGGAAGTCTACTTCTGCACCACGAGTAAGTTGCCGCGAGCGGATCAACCAATTTCTTAAAGAGTATCTTGCAGTCAGCGCTGGAAAATTAGTTTGTGAAGTATGTCATATGGAAGTTTCCTTGAAACGTAGTATCGTCAAAAAGCATGTTGAGAGCGCTAGACACTCCGAAGCAAAGGAGCAACGATCTAAGGCAAAGAATCACCAGCAGCTGTTAGCCAAGTCGTGGAGCAAGTATGCCGCACAGAAGACGCAGAAGGAGACACTCGTGGGAACTGGACTATCTGAGGCGGTTCCAGACAATGTCCTGTTGCGAAGAGCCAATGTGTGGTGGAAGGTTTCCTGAGGGCTGGAATTCCACTAGCTAAGATCGATTACATCCGTCCATTGCTGGAGACTGGCAGCACTCGCTTGACACACAGCACACATATGGCCTCTCACATACCCTTTCTGCTGAAGAAGGAGCAAACGGAATTGGGGAAGGAGATTGGAGCAGCATCACATATTGCTGTCATATTCGATGGCAGCACACACTTTGGCGAAGCCTTTGCTGTTGTCACACGCCATGGGGATAAGGAGTTCTGTGTTCACCAACGTCTCGTCCGTTTCCACATACTAGCAAAGAGTCTCACTGCTGCACAGCTTGCCAGAGAAATCGTCACCACACTGTGCACTCAATTACAAGTTCCACCCGCAAAGGTCACTGCTATGATTAGAGATGGAGCTGCTGTTAATACTGCGGCAGTTTCAACTCTCAAGGAGCTCCTATTTCTCAACATTTTGGATGTGAAGTGCTTCTCACACAGCTTGGACATTGTTGGCCGGAAGTTTGAGGTTCCCATTGTAGACGACTTCTGCCACTGGTGGGTAAGTCTGTTTGCTCACAGCCCGGCTGCTCGGCTGGCATGGAAAGCTAGAACTGGAGTTGCTGCAAAGTCCCACAGCCCAACACGTTGGTGGAGTCGTTGGGAAGTCCTTCATCAACTTCTCCTGTTCTATGGTGATGTCGAACCATTCCTTCGTGAGTGTACGTCTCACCAGCAACTCATCAACACCTTCTCCGTATCTTTGACAATGAAGATGTCACTGAGGAGTTTCGGATACAGCTGGCGGCAACCGTGGACGGGGGTGAGCCATTCGTGAAGAAAACCTACCTCATGGAGGGTGATGCTGATCTGTCATATGATGTATACAAATGGCTGCAAGAAATGTTGGTCACAGTCGGTCATGCTCACTACCCTAATGTGGAAGCTGTCGTGAAACAGATTGCACCGGATGATGATCAAAGGCAGCAGGTATTGATCTTCAACGCAAAGCAATGCATCCGGCCTGCCCTGGAATACTTTCAACGCCGCTTTGCCCATCTTCATGGTGATCTGCACAGCCTTGTTACAGTGTACAAGGCAGTGAGGCTTTGCGATCCACTGTTTGTGCGCGACACACGTCCAGGGGTAGCATTGATCGATGAGCTTCGGCAGATCCCGGTGTTGGACGACGACACCGCTATCGCCGATCTCAAGTCAGAACTCCCCGCTTATCAAGTTGCTGTGGAAGACATACCAGATGATGAGAAACGCATTGCGTGGTGGAAGCGCCAACTCAAGCTGCCTTGCTGGAGGGAGGCCACACGCTTAGTTCTCCTAATAGCGCCATCCTCTGCAGCAGTCGAGCGTGTCTTCTCTCTGCTGGAAGCTAGCACCTCAAAGCTCCAGGAAGGTCTTCTCCAGGATCAGCTTGAGCTTTCCTTAATGCTCCAGTATAACCGAGGCAAATACAGCCATGAGATGTAAGGCGACATCAAGTTGAACAGCAATAGAAGAGAAGAAGAGATCCGCCTCCAAGGATCTGTCCTAACACTGACAGTTTCAATGCCCTTTTTCAGCATGACTGTAACTTGAGGTTACAATAGATGTTGCCATCCATTTTTCTACCGGTAAATAGTTATGTAGTGTCTGCCAGCCTGCTCGTGTCTGAGGCACTTTGGGCTTACAACAGAAAGTGATACAGGCTGACAGCACTAGCGGGAGAAAAAAAGCTCTTGGGCTTAGACTCTTCACTTCATAATTCCACACACAATGAGAAAGAATGATGGGTTTATATAGGCCAGAGGGAGAGACCAGCTGGG